ATATTATACCCAGTTTATCCCAACAGCTCTATTTAGGGATAGATTTCTGGAAACTCTACGACCTTTTGCCTTTTCAAACGTTAAATAATCCTTCAGCACCATCAATTTCAGCTATTTTAGATACTTGTAACTTAGATAGTCAGCAAAAGCAACAGTTACAGAAACTATTGAGCTTTTTCCTTCATTCGCAAGAGAAGGGCTAGGGAAAACATCATTAGTTAGCCATGTTATAGATGTTGGTGAAGCAAAGCCTATTAAGCAAAGGCATTATCCGGTTTCGCCTGCGATCGAAAAGTTAATGTACGAAGAGGTGGACCGGATGATAAAATTAGGGATTATTGAGGAATCAAAAAGCGCATGGAGTTCTCCCTGTGTTCTCGTAAGAAAACCAGGCAAGAACAGGTTATGTTTAGATTGTAGAAAAGTAAATGAGGTCACAGTTAAGGATGCTTATCCGCTCCCGATCATCGACGGTATATTAAGCAGGTTACCAAAGGCTAGATTTATTACCAGCTTGGATCTTAAAGATGCCTTTTGGCAAATACCTTTAGATCCAAAATCAAGGGACAAAACAGCATTCACAGTACCAGGACGGCCATTATACCAATATAAAGTAATGCCGTTTGGTCTGTGTAATGCACCCCAAACTATGTCTCGTTTGATGGATAAGGTAATTCCTGCCAATTTGCGTAATGAAGTTTTTATATACCTCGACGATTTGTTGGTCATTTCGGATTGTTTTGATAAGCATCTAGACGTGTTAGGACAAGTTGCTAAGCATTTTTGTCAAGCAGGTCTTACAATAAATGTAGAAAAGAGTAGTTTTTGTATGGAGGAAGTTAGGTATTTGGGTCACATAATTGGAAAAGGCGTTATTCGTACTGATCCAGACAAAGTTACAGCTATCCTTGAATATCCGACCCCTGGATCAGTGAAAGAGATCAGACGGTTTCTCGGAATGACGGGGTGGTATCGGAAATTCATTGAAAATTATGCATCTCTCACAACTCCTTTGACTGATTTGCTCAAAAATAAGAGGAAATTTTGTTGGAATGAAGAGGCCAATAAATCCTTTGAAGCATTGAAGGGTCTATTGAGCTCTGCTCCTGTCTTACACAGCCCGGATTTTACGAAACCTTTCTATATCCATTGTGACGCAAGTAAGACAGGTATAGGAAGCGTACTGGTCCAACTAAATTCGGAGGGTGATGAAGTTCCTTTGGCATTTATGTCAAAGAAACTAAATAAAGCCCAAAGAAATTACTCAGTGACCGAACAGGAATGCTTAGCTGCTGTGCTAAGCATTAAAAAGTTTCGCCCGTATATAGAAGGACATGAGTTCACAATAGTGACCGATCATGCATCATTAAAGTGGCTCATGTCCCAAAAAGATTTAAGCTCTAGACTAGCTCGTTGGGCCCTGAAACTTCAAGGGTTTAACTTTAAAATACAACACCGTAAAGGCACTCAAAATATTGTTCCAGATACACTTTCTCGTACCACTTCGTCTGACCCAGTCCTTTGTCCGTCCGCCGAACAGGTGGACCTAGTTATCAGTAGTCTGTCCGATGACAAAGGGGATTTCATTGACTTAAAGTCACAACATTTTCAATCTGACGAGTATAAAGCACTAAAAACGAACTTGACTGAAAACCAAAACAAATTTCCAGACTTAAAAATCGTAGACGATTATGTATATAAACGAACGGAACATGCGACTGGGGAACAATTTAATGACGATTTTTGTTGGAAACTTTGGGTTCCAAGTGGCTTAATACCTGACGTTCTATTAAAAGCCCACGATAATCCTTTATCAGCACATTTTGGTATCAATAAAACATTGGATCGTGTTCGCAGATACTACTTTTGGCCAGGCCTTGTCAATAGTGTTAGGGATTTTGTAAACCAGTGCGAAATATGCAAATCCATAAAGCATCCAAATTATGTTTTAAGACCACCCTTAGGACGCTCTCCTATGCCTGAACGTTTGTTCCAGAGGTTGTACATAGACTTTTTAGGCCCCTATCCTAGGTCAAGAACTGGAAACATTGGCATATTTGTGGTCCTTGACCATTTCTCAAAATATCCATTCCTAAAACCCGTTAAGAAACTCACAGCTGATGTTGTTACCAAATATCTCGAAGAGGAAATCTTTCATGTCTTTGGCGTACCGGAGACAATAGTCTCAGATAATGGCGTCCAATTTAAATCTAAATTATTCAAACAATTGCTAGAAAGATATAAAATATTTCACACACTCACAGCAGTATATTCGCCACAAGCAAATGCTTTGTGACAAAACTTTACTTCTAAGTGGAAATGGCACGCAGGTGGTTGCACGACGCTAGCTCGTCGGAATTGGTAGGTTCTTTCCACTACAGTTGGTCACATTTAAATCTATCGTGCCAATGTAAAACCGATCAGTAACATATAGTAATCACGAATTCACCATGGAGTTGAAGTTTCTATTAAACGGACGGACAGATGACAATAGTCTTAACAGCAATCTATGCAATAGACGGTTACACGGAGTCCTTGAAGGAATAGATGTTACAACCTTCGCGGGTTGCCCTCCCCTGACATGACATTATCCCAGTCATCCTTGGTTCCTGTTCACCCGTACTTGAAATTCTAAGAACCCCTAGATCAAACTTACCAGTTCACTATGATTCACATCATTACCTCTTTCCTTTTTATCCTTGCATTGTCAAACACTATGAATATGTTTTCAGATTTCAATCTTAAAAATAGACATTGATTTATTCAAATAACAAAAAAATAAACTTCTAACAATAATAATTAACAACAGAATTATAATATTTAAAACAAATGAGTAACTTAACAAGTTTAGTAAAAATGGATGATTTTATGATCACAAAAGTTTATATTTATATACATGCATATATTTATAAATGTTGAGATTCTTTTACAATTTCCTTATTTATGTATAATTAAGATAAATTTAAAAAAAAAATGTTTTTATATCAACGATATACCTTTGTTTATTTATATATTAATTTGTTTATATATTTATTTAGCTATAAATTTATTTATTTATTCGTGTATATATTTATTCATATATTTATTTATTTACTTATTTATTTATTTATTTATTTATTTATTTATTTGTTGATATATTTATAAATTTATTTATTTATTAATATATTCATTAGTTTATTCATTTATTCGTTTATTTATATATTTATTTATTTATTTATTTATTTATTTGTTCATAAATTTATTTATTTATTAATATATTCATTAATTTATTCGTTTATTTATTTATTTATTTATTTGTTAGTTTAAATATTTATTTTTATATTTATTTATTTATTTATTTACTTATTAATTCATTCATTTATTTGTTTATATTTTTTTAATTTTGTATTTATCTATTTATTTATTTATTTTTATAGTTATCTATTTGTTTATGAATTTAAATATTTTGATGTAGAGTGTGGTGAAACGTGGCTTCAAATATTCTAATAGCATAAATAAACATATCGTAATTTTTTTATATTTGAAAATTATTATAATGTTAGTAAAGTATTATATTTTGATTTGCTTATTGACTAGATTATTAGGTATAACTATTTTTTTTTGTTTGACTTAACTAAACTAATTCTTGTAAAAAAAATACTTTGTTTTCTTTTATTTTCATATATATTTTTTTGGGATTTCCTCTTTATCCCTGAACTATTGGTAAGATTCGTATTATGATTTATGAATTAGTTTAGTTAGAGTTATTAATAAATTTATACAAAGGAAAATAGTTTGTTGTATATCGTGAATCTAAGGTAAATGTATTTTTATATGGGTGGATATATTTGCACACACATAGACTTGTGTACATACCTACATATATATATATGTACACATATACATATGTATATACATGTATATACTTTTATATTTTCCTTTATATTTTGATTTCTTTTTTTCTTTTATGATTAATAGGAAATTAATTAGATCGTAATGATTACAATAGAAGTTAATAAATATCAGACTTATTATATAATTGCTTAAAAAAAATTAAGGTTAAATTTTTAGTTTTTTATATATTTTCTTTTTATATATATATACTCGAACACACATTCTTTGTACACTTATATACTCTACATATACACTACATTTATATATCTATATATATAATACAGTAACACGTCGTTCAGTCAATACATAACGGTTATGGATCACGTTTTCCTTTCTTATATAGTATATGTTGTAATCACGGTCATCGGATATGACCTTTATAGGTCAATTAGGTCGTTATAATGTCACCAGGTCAATTTTCTTTTGTGCTTACCCAGTTCTTTTTAGTTTGTCACCAATGTTAAAAAAAACCTGTATTTTCAGCCTTGGATTTGTCTGGCGTTGTCCGTGCTGTGTGGTGAATTATAACGCTTCTGTATGGTTTTTATCTTTGCTATACAATCTTCGGTATCTTAACACTAGATGGCACTGCAACATTGACAAAATCACCTTCGTAAGAAAAACCAAAATTAATCAACATCCAGTATTTTCCTTGTTTCAATTTGATCATTTAATTTTATACAAACGTCACAATATAATATTCAACGCATAATTAATTCAATAATTATGTGTATTTGTATAAATATTACATAATCAGTGGAATATGTTAAAATTATTTGATTCATTTTCCGAATTTGTTTCATACCTTTTTTAAATATTTATTTTATTGAAGCACTAGTTTAACAGTATTTATTAAAGATGGTGTTATATTTTTTTTATAACTTTGAATTCAATCAATATCACAATTTTCAAATATTTTTACAATAACTTTCATTGGGTTATTTGAGCAAGCACACACTTCGATATCCAATTGTGTAATGATTAATGTGATCTTGTAAAAATGTGTGATTAAGCTTATGTACACATACCATTCCCTTAACTCCCCTCTATTCCCTAATTTTCCTGTTTTTTTTACCTTTTTCAATAACATTTTAAGGTCGTTCCCTGATTTTTCGTCAGGTCTGTTATTGTGAATGACCCTTTATCCCCTAAGGAAACGCTACTGCCCTCTATACGTCAATACCCTTTTATGAATATCCATCACGAATGTCAAACAACAATGAAAAAGAAACCGTAGTGTAGAGTTACGAGCGCAGCTGATTGTTATTTGTTTATGTTTTACAAACAAAAATCTAATAAAAGAATATTTTTTAGTGTTTTATCCTTCAAATAAACAGACGTTACCGTCACAAAGCCTGCTTTTGTCTCGATACCCGTGGAGTGATCTAAAGCAGGGAACTAGACGAAGTTCGGGAACGTCTTAGTGTTCAATTATTATACTTTGTATACAAAAATAAATTATGCTAAAGCTCGACCTGGATCTTGAAAAGTTTTGTACTACTCAATGTGTGTCCATGATCTTTCAAGGTTGTCAATGAACATAAACAAAAATAAATTGTTTCAAAGTTAATTTTCGTTAATTTGATGAATTATGTGGATTATATTATTCAGTTGCAGTATTATTAAACCTAATCAAGAATATCTTGGCTCCTATTCTTGTTATTATAGAATCGGGAGTATGTTGAAGAACAGTTATGGTGAGTTTCATCAAGGTTTATGGAATATTATTTGTCCCTACTACCTAACACTCTTCCTTTCATAGATGTTTGCGGTGACTTAGTAACAACTTGGTCAGTCCATCTACCTAGCGTATAGTGACAAGTTCCAAATGGTATCTTACTTTTTCCTCTCCTTAATTTTCTATTCATCTCTGATAATATTTCATAGGTATTTACCATCTCCATACAGAGAGGTCTATAACCGACTTGCCTTATGGAATCTACTGACAGTTGAATGAAAGGGTGAGTGAATTCTAAACGGAAAAGTTCATAGATAATATTCGACTTTACCAACTTTCAATTTATGTCAATTGTGATTGTTTAACTGTTTCATTATGCTGTTTAAGGTAATCTAGTCGTTTGAAACTTAGTTATCATAAGATTAGTTAATATATTTCTCGAATTGTACAATCTTTCGTTAATTTTCATCAATTGCCGAATCTCTCATCTAGATTTTGTTTTGTAATCTCCGTATTCATTTCAAAATTTTGAATGTAAATGTTGTTCTAAAATGAAAAAGAACTATAAAAATTTTGATTTCCAGAACATTGCTGAAATGTAAAAATTGTTTATGAATACGGAATTAAATGTTTTTTAGCAAATATAAGATGAAATAAAACACATTTTATTTCACTTTGTATTAGATTCGAATTAATGAAAAATTGTTTCATTCAAGGATTGTGCGAATTCTGTTCCGATAGAAGTATTTGGATAAAAGAAATTAGCTTTTGTTTAGGATGGTTTTATGTGATGAATACTAGGCTTTTTGTGTTAGTTATTAGTTTGTGATTTTAGTGATAATAGCTCTGTCTATAAGGTGATATTCGTTTCGGTCTATACAGTCCTGGTTGTCACTAGCATTTTAAGAAATTTAAAGAAATTTTGTTATTTATCATCGTACTAAAAAAATTGGAAAAAATATGTATTAAACATAGTTGTCGAAAATTTAGTGGTCAGACTTTACACATTGATGTGTTTCCTTACTTAATCGTAAAATCAGATTTCTTCACTTAACTGAACTATGAAGTTGATATTTGGTAATGTATTCTGTATAACGAGATACATTTATGTGTAGTTGTCGGTGAAAATCTTTCTTTGGAAACATTGAGTTTTATTTTCCCTTGGTTTCTTATTCTGTAGCAACGTATGTTATCAAGCTCGATTCTTATAATTCTAATGTAGAATATTCAAATTACAACTGCTACTACTGCTTCAAATGTTGTGCATGTATCACTCCGATGAGTTGTCTTTTTAAGTTCTCCACCTCGTATTGGCTAATTCCAACTTTTTTTCTTATTCTGCATTTTAGCCATGGTTTACAGAGTTTTGCATTTATCCCTTTTGCAAAGTTACTTTGTACAAAATTTTTACGGTAAACCTCCTGTCCTTCTTTAAATGATATATCCTTAGTCCTTTTGTTATATGATCTCACGTTTCTTTCGTAAGCTTTGTGCAAATTATCCTTTATTTTGTTGTGTATGATTTTCATCTGGTCTGATTTAGGCATTATCAGAGTTTCACCATCCTCAATTGAATTTAGCTTCCTTAAGATTTCATATGCGTCCGCGTGGGTAATCATATTGTAGCCAGTTAAGGCAAAATAAGGTGTAACTCCTAAAGACGTGTGTATTGTTGACCGTAATGAAAGTTCGATTTTACTGAGATTCTCATCCCATCTGGATTGGTCGTTTTGCAAGAAGCTTCTAATACCGCTGATAATGGACTGATTTACTCTCTCGCTAGCATTAGCTTGGGGAGAGTGTATTGGGCTTCTAATGTGTTTTACACCAAACGTTTCCAATAATTCCTGAAAGGCAATAGAGGTAAATTGTTTACCATTGTCAGAGTGCACTTGCTCTGGAACGCCAAACTTATAAAAAACTTCTTCTACTAAAAACTTATTAACTGCTTTGGTTGAAGCTTTGGGTAAGGCCTTTAATAGAACAAATTTTGTTTTATGGTCTAATACAATGAAGATATAGGTGTTTCCAGATTTGCTTCTCGGGTATGGGCCAAGGAAATCTATATATATTTTTTGAAAAGGCCTTTGTGTCATCACTTCCTTTCCCATTTTTGGTCTTAGAATTTGTTTCGGGTGCTTGATTTCTTTGCAGGTTTCGCAAGACTTAACAAAATTATGCACGTCTTTGACTATTGACGGCCAATAGAAATATTCCCTGATGTTATACAATGTTTTGGCCACACCTCCATGTGAGGTATTATCAATGTGTGACTTTTTCAATATATTCATTGTCAATGTCTCCGGCAACCATATTTTCCAGCAACTTTCCTCATTTTCTTCATCTCTATGAAATCCTACCTTTTTGTACACAACATTATCCTTAATTTTTATATCTGGTAATCTATCAATGTTTTGTTCTACTGTTTCGATTAGAGTTAAGTATTTAGGATTTTTAAATTCCTCAGAGTTAAAGTCAATTAAGCCAATTCGTTCTAACGTTACTTCTTCCACTTCCAGTCTTGATAGCATATCCGGTACAATATTTTTATTTCCTTTTCTGTGTTCGATATCGAATTTAAATCCCTGCAGTTTGAGACTCCATCTGGCCAGTCTTCCATTCAGGTCTTGTTGTTTCATTAGCCATTTGAGGCTCGAATGGTCTGTGATCACAGTAAAGTCCATTAATTCGACATATTGCCTAAATTTTTCGATAGCTAATACAACCGCGCGGCATTCTTTTTCAGTTGTCGAGTAATTTTTTTGCGCTGTGTTGAGTTTTCTAGAGAAGTACTCTATTGGGTGTTCACCATCGTCCTCGTCTTTTTGAAAAAGGACAGCTCCTACTCCGACATTTGATGCGTCGCATTGTATGAAAAATTTTTTGCTGAAATCTGGACTAGAAAGAATGGGCCTAGATACCAAACGTTGTTTTAGTTCTTCGAATGACTTTAACGCTTCAGGGGTTAGGATGAATTTGGGTGATTTTTTGAGGGTATCAGTTAATGGAGCGGTGATAGTGGAAAAATCGTGTAGAAATCGACGATACCAGCCTACGGTTCCTAAGAATCTTCGGACTTCTTTCGGACTTTTAGGTGGACTCATGTTCATGATGGCTTCAATTTTACTGGGATCTGGCTTAAGCTTGCCTCCACCGACTATGTAGCCTAAATATTTCAGTTCCTTGTGGCAGAACTTGGATTTTTCCATATTTATGGTTAGGCCCGCCGCAGACAACTTTTCACCTACTATTTTAAGCATCTCCATGTGTTCTTTAAAGTTTGGCGAAACTACTAGAAGATCGTCTAGGTAAACAAATATTCTGTCCTTGAGTTCTGACGGTATTACCTTGTCCATAAGTCGACAAAGACGTTGTGCAGCATTACATAATCCGAAAGGCATTACCTTGAACTGGTAATGGGGTCTACCTTGGACTGTAAAAGCTGTTTTGGGTCTACTAGATTCCTCTAACGGGATCTGCCAAAATGCATCCTTTAAGTCAATGGCCGATATGTAATGCGTGTCCCCAAGTCTAGCGAGCAAACCATCAATATTTGGGAGGGGGTAAGCGTCCTTCTTAGTCACTTTATTCAGTTCCCGTGCATCTAAACACAAGCGATTTTTGTTGGGCTTAATCACCAGTGTGGTTCTGTTGTTCCAATCAGCTTGTTTGGCTATTTCAATAACATCGAGCTCTAACATCCGATCTAGTTCAGCGTACGTGAGTTTTTGTACCGCTGGACTAACAGGGTAGTAACGCATCTTTTTGGGTTGAGCTTCTCCAGTATCAATGATGTGTGTTTCCAGTGTGGTTTTACCCAATCCAAACTTTGTATAGCATCTAAATGACAGCTTCACTTGTTCCAATATTTTCTTTTCTTGTGATGACAACATGTGGACTTTATCGTTGTTGGCTGGTTCTCTGGTGATTTCTTCTACTCTAGGACTTGCTAGACAGATTTTTATCCCGATATGTTGCCAAAAGTCGTACCCTAATATAAGTTCCTGCTTCAAATTAGGAATCAAATACAAAACAACATCTTTATTTGCCGAACCGAATTTTATTGTAACTTTTACTTTCCCTATTATACATTGATCTGTACCATCGGCAGTTTTTATTGATGATTTAAAATCCAGAATCTTGCACTTCATTTTTCCCACATTTTCCAAACAATTCTTTCCTAAACAACTAATAGAGGCTCCACTATCCATTAACCCTTTAAGAAACACTCCATTTACCACTACATCCATATACGGTCTGATGTCAATATCTGAATCTAGTGATGTTGCAGCGATTTCCTTTCTCTCAAACTTTCTTTTCATATACCTCTCACGTGTTTTCTCGATTTTCTTACCTGTTTTGTATTCAACATCATTAAATATTCTATTTCTCGTCTTATTATAATTTTCTAGACGTGCATCGTAGGACAACAAATGGTTTGGATTTGAGCTAATTGCTTTAGATTTGACGGTTTCGGTTACTTTGCATATAGATGTAGGCATGTGTTTATCTGTTTCTTGCATGTTGTTTTTAGGGGTTGATGGTACTTGAGTTGAAGAGATTTTTGTAATGATTTTGACTGGTTTAGGTTCGAACATGCCGCCCCAGCTTACACCATGTTCGTCTATTTGTTTCCCGAGCATTTCGGGCATTTGGGTGTGATGACGTTTTCGAACCCACATTTGTAACAAAATAGGTTACGTTTTTCGGAATCACATTCAACAAATGAGTGTCCAGGAGTCTTACAGTTCCAACAAATCAACTGTCTGGCTGGTGGTAGATTCATTCTCAGTGCCTCAATGTTATGTTCAGAGTTTGTTGGGACTTCATTGAACTCGAGTTCATTTACTCTGCGAGTGTTGTACTGCCTATGGTTATTTCGTTTGCTTAAGTTCCTTTCAGCACGCCTACACTCTTCCAGCAAATGATCAAAAGTATTAATGGGAATTGGATATATTAATTGATATATTCCGTCTTTTAAATTGTCTTTAACGATGCGGACAAGTTCGTCTTCTCTTACTCCACGGCTGAGCTGGTTTTTCAACGCAATAATTTCACCAATAAAAGCTTCTGAAGATTCGGAGGGATGTTGTCTGCGCTCCATAATACATCTCTGGATCTCAGAATCGCTTTCAAACCGTCTGAATTTTCTTATTAGATGATGTTTGAGTTGTGTCCACTCACAAAAAGGGTTTTCACGACGGAAAGTCCAAAACCATTCATAAGCACTACCGGTCAAGAGGTGGTGAAATCCTTTCATGAGAGTTGACATCGGACAATTATAGTCTACTTGCAGTGATTCAACCCTAAACACAAAATCCTCAATAGTAAATGATTTTCTACTGCCATCAAACTTTATACCCCATTTTTCTAAGTCAATAGGTGCAGTCATTCTTGGGTTAGGGTACATGTTCATATTGGGCAATGCTTGTTGTCGCTGGTCTCTTACCTCAAATGGTCTCGGTTGAGAACTGCAGAATGGTCTTGGTGGTGGTTGCGTATTTGACTCATTTATTGTACCAAAAGACATATTTCTTTCAGCCCTCATTACGTCCTGAACAATGCGAGGTACGAGCTGATGTAACGTTTCAGTAATTTGCCCTAAAACCTGCACCTGAGATGCGCCGACTGATGCGCTAAAATAGTCTCTTAATGTTAGGCCCTCATTGTTAATAACAGTTTCCAGAAACCAAAATTTTCTAATTTCGTGCAAAATTTCTAGAAAAATCTAAAACCTAAGTTCCTGCAGATTCTCATAAAATTATTTAATCTAAAAAATGTAATGAAAACTGTTGAAAAGTGAAATGTCGTATAACTAAATACTTTTGTTTGAGTAAACAAGCAAATAAAACAAAAGACTTAAGAACCAAACTTGAAAATGTTTGAATATTAAGGTACGAAAAGGATTACCAATTATAAAAGGAAAAGTATATAAATCTTAAACCTATAAAAATAATTTAATTAATTCCTACTAAAAAAATATTTAGGACCAGTAAAGGAATAGAGTAGATATGTGTACCAATCAGTTTTCAGTCAGCGTTTTTATAGTTTAAGTAATCTGATATTGGTAATGTTAGACACAACACATCAAAAAGGTCACAAAACAAAATTGACAAGATGACTAAAAGTTTTAGTATAGTACAATCAAAATATAACGTGTTAGTTTTTATGTTATGTTTGTTAGTTAAATTGTTTGTTGTTGTTTCTTAATTATTAATTTTATTATTGTTATTGTTTCTAAATTATTAATTTTATTCCCTTTTCTTTTTAGATTTTAGGTATTGATGATTGGTTGATGTGAATCAATGATGTTGCTGGTAGTTTTTCTGTTTTGATTGTTGACTCCTTGGATCAGTTTATGTACATTTTTAAGTAATATGAAATTAATCATAAGTCAAATGTTCAAACTGTTCAACTTAAAAAAAATATAAATTTTATCGAGATTTTCCTTTGGAAAATTAAATAAAATTCGTTTGCATAGATTCAAATGATGTTAGAGGTGTTTTCAATATAAATAGATTTTGCTGTCATAACTCGGACTAAATAGAGTACACAGGACAATATCACAAAAAGAGAACTTTTCAAATCTCATCGAAAGGAATTTGTTAAGGTCGCAAATAAACACAAGACTTTTAGTCGTATGGTTTATGACATACCTTAAAAGAAACATTTAGATTGGAATTGATTAGCTCCTCAATATTTTAATGGTTACAAAGTAAACGCCGCAACACAGGCATGGTGTTATAAGTATGACACCTTCCGGGACTTGCGTTTAGTAAATAAACATTAATATATTGTAGCATATGGCATTTTTTTTTTTTAAATGCTCATGCGTTGGGCGCCAAAATGTGACAAAACTTTACTTCTAAGTGGAAATGGCACGCAGGTGGTTGCACGACGCTAGCTCGTCGGAATTGGTAGGTTCTTTCCACTACAGTTGGTCACATTTAAATCTATCGTGCCAATGTAAAACCGATCAGTAACATATAGTAATCACGAATTCACCATGGAGTTGAAGTTTCTATTAAACGGACGGACAGATGACAATAGTCTTAACAGCAATCTATGCAATAGACGGTTACACGGAGTCCTTGAAGGAATAGATGTTACAACCTTCGCGGGTTGCCCTCCCCTGACATGACATTATCCCAGTCATCCTTGGTTCCTGTTCACCCGTACTTGAAATTCTAAGAACCCCTAGATCAAACTTACCAGTTCACTATGATTCACATCATTACCTCTTTCCTTTTTATCCTTGCATTGTCAAACACTATGAATATGTTTTCAGATTTCAATCTTAAAAATAGACATTGATTTATTCAAATAACAAAAAAATAAACTTCTAACAATAATAATTAACAACAGAATTATAATATTTAAAACAAATGAGTAACTTAACAAGTTTAGTAAAAGTGGATGATTTTATGATCACAAAAGTTTATATTTATATACATGCATATATTTATAAATGTTGAGATTCTTTTACAATTTCCTTATTTATGTATAATTAAGATAAATTTAAAAAAAAAATGTTTTTATATCAACGATATACCTTTGTTTATTTATATATTAATTTGTTTATATATTTATTTAGCTATAAATTTATTTATTTATTCGTGTATATATTTATTCATATATTTATTTATTTACTTATTTATTTATTTATTTATTTATTTATTTATTTATTTGTTGATATATTTATAAATTTATTTATTTATTAATATATTCATTAGTTTATTCATTTATTCGTTTATTTATATATTTATTTATTTATTTATTTATTTATTTGTTCATAAATTTATTTATTTATTAATATATTCATTAATTTATTCGTTTATTTATTTATTTATTTATTTGTTAGTTTAAATATTTATTTTTATATTTATTTATTTATTTATTTACTTATTAATTCATTCATTTATTTGTTTATATTTTTTTAATTTTGTATTTATCTATTTATTTATTTATTTTTATAGTTATCTATTTGTTTATGAATTTAAATATTTTGATGTAGAGTGTGGTGAAACGTGGCTTCAAATATTCTAATAGCATAAATAAACATATCGTAATTTTTTTATATTTGAAAATTATTATAATGTTAGTAAAGTATTATATTTTGATTTGCTTATTGACTAGATTATTAGGTATAACTATTTTTTTTTGTTTGACTTAACTAAACTAATTCTTGTAAAAAAAATACTTTGTTTTCTTTTATTTTCATATATATTTTTTTGGGATTTCCTCTTTATCCCTGAACTATTGGTAAGATTCGTATTATGATTTATGAATTAGTTTAGTTAGAGTTATTAATAAATTTATACAAAGGAAAATAGTTTGTTGTATATCGTGAATCTAAGGTAAATGTATTTTTATATGGGTGGATATATTTGCACACACATAGACTTGTGTACATACCTACATATATATATATGTACACATATACATATGTATATACATGTATATACTTTTATATTTTCCTTTATATTTTGATTTCTTTTTTTCTTTTATGATTAATAGGAAATTAATTAGATCGTAATGATTACAATAGAAGTTAATAAATATCAGACTTATTATATAATTGCTTAAAAAAAAATTAAGGTTAAATTTTTAGTTTTTTATATATTTTCTTTTTATATATATATACTCGAACACACATTCTTTGTACACTTATATACTCTACATATACACTACATTTATATATCTATATATATAATACAGTAACACGTCGTTCAGTCAATACATAACGGTTATGGATCACGTTTTCCTTTCTTATATAGTATATGTTGTAATCACGGTCATCGGATATGACCTTTATAGGTCAATTAGGTCGTTATAATGTCACCAGGTCAATTTTCTTTTGTGCTTACCCAGTTCTTTTTAGTTTGTCACCAATGTTAAAAAAAACCTGTATTTTCAGCCTTGGATTTGTCTGGCGTTGTCCGTGCTGTGTGGTGAATTATAACGCTTCTGTATGGTTTTTATCTTTGCTATACAATCTTCGGTATCTTAACACTAGATGGCACTGCAACATTGACAAAATCACCTTCGTAAGAAAAACCAAAATTAATCAACATCCAGTATTTTCCTTGTTTCAATTTGATCATTTAATTTTATACAAACGTCACAATATAATATTCAACGCATAATTAATTCAATAATTATGTGTATTTGTATAAATATTACATAATCAGTGGAATATGTTAAAATTATTTGATTCATTTTCCGAATTTGTTTCATACCTTTTTTAAATATTTATTTTATTGAAGCACTAGTTTAACAGTATTTATTAAAGATGGTGTTATATTTTTTTTATAACTTTGAATTCAATCAATATCACAATTTTCAAATATTTTTACAATAACTTTCATTGGGTTATTTGAGCAAGCACACACTTCGATATCCAATTGTGTAATGATTAATGTGATCTTGTAAAAATGTGTGATTAAGCTTATGTACACATACCATTCCCTTAACTCCCCTCTATTCCCTAATTTTCCTGTTTTTTTTACCTTTTTCAATAACATTTTAAGGTCGTTCCCTGATTTTTCGTCAGGTCTGTTATTGTGAATGACCCTTTATCCCCTAAGGAAACGCTACTGCCCTCTATACGTCAATACCCTTTTATGAATATCCATCACGAATGTCAAACAACAATGAAAAAGAAACCGTAGTGTAGAGTTACGAGCGCAGCTGATTGTTATTTGTTTATGTTTTACAAACAAAAATCTAATAAAAGAATATTTTTTAGTGTTTTATCCTTCAAATAAACAGACGTTACCGTCACAGCTTCTGAACGAATAAATCGTTCAGTGATTGCGGCTATTAGAGCTTACATTAATCCAGACCAGAAAAACTGGGATGAAGTGTTAAGCAGCATTGCTTGCGCAATTCGTTCAAGCTCTCACTCGTCGATAGGTGTAGCACCGTATTATCTGGCTTTCGGTCAAAACATGGTGACTAATGGTGACACGTACTCATTGTTAAGAAAACTAAATGCTTTAGAAGATAGAACCGTGAATTTTACAAGAGAGGATTCAATGGAAGTTGTTAGGAAAAGAGCTTTAGAGCTAATGGAAAAGCAGTTTTTACGAAATGAGCGAAAATATAATCTAAGGTCAAGGGTAACTAATTACAAAGAGGGTCAAGAAGTTTTCAGAAGAAACTTTAAACAATCCAATTTTGAGAAAGGTTACAACGCAAAGCTCGATCATGTTTTCGTAAAGGCTCGTATAAGGAAAAAAGTAGGCAATTGCAATTACGAATTAGAAGATATGCAGGGCAATTACGTAGGAAAATTTCACACAAAGGACATCAAACCGTCTTAATTTTAGCCAGCTTGATCCTATTTTGTTGCTTTTCACTCCAAAATATGATCTTGACGGGGGGATTGTGTAAACTGCTGGCTTTTGGAAAAACTTTTTTTTTTGAAAATTTTGTATTTGGAATTAACGGTCAATATATCAAAATGCATCTATTAAACGTAACGTGATATAAAATTCAACCATGCGTTACAAATTCACCACGATCAAAATATCAAACAACAAATATATTGATTATTGGCAAAATTAGAATGTATTGGTAAAAATCAATTGGAATTCCAATTAAGCAATCAACTCAATATTAAAATCTTGGTATAAAAGCTAAATTTGCCCAATCTCGGCCTTTCATTTTAACCTCACTACCCGTCAAATAATATTAAAAACGAAATTGAATTTTACAAAATTTCAAGTTTCAGTTGCATAAGTTTTAAAGTTTAAAAATTTGCTTATTCAAATCTAAAATCTTATCGAATTTCTTCAATATTAAACAAGTGTGTGAAACTAGTAACATACTGAAGAAATTAAATAATTTGTACCTCAAATTGTTGAGTGTTTGTGCTTTTGGATATTTATATTTGGTGCCAATCCAGAAAGGGTAATATAAAACATTTAAAAATTAGTTCAATTTTTTTTGTCTAATTTCTGTTAATTCCAACAGATTTGGCACCAAATTGTACAACAACTTTATTGTGTCAAGAAATATTGGTAAAACTCCATAATAGTTAGTCAACTTGGTGACAAATATTAATGCCATATTCTCAATTAAACTGCGAAATCCCAAAATAGCTAAGGAGCCAGTACAGGACAATTGACATATTAGCCAAATAGTTGAGGAATTGGTATACCAAGATCTCTTTGTGAATGGTCAAAATTGGAAGAATTTTACTGATTTCATTCATACTGATTCAACCTACTTCAGCGCTGGAATCAGAATAAAAGTTTCGAAATTAACGATTTACATATATTCTTCGGATTCCAAAGTATATTCTCCAACACCAAAACCTTAAAACTGTGGATTTTACATTTTCATCGAAGCATTTACTACTTATCTAAGTATTTTCTTTAAACCCAAATTGTTCTACTAATTTATAGCATGCGATAAATATTTATTCCTATTTTTAAGATAGAGTTAATTTTTGCATCA